GCTGGACAGTGCATAAGGAAGCTCATAGAAGAATTGATGCATATAAGTTATGGTGTTGGAGGAGAATATTGAAAGTGCCATGAGCTGCCAAAAGAACAAACAGATCTATGTTGGAAGAAGTGCAGCCAGAGTGCTCCTTGGAGGCCAGGATGGCCAAACTTGGTCTCTGATAGTTCAGAAATATTATCAGGAGGGACCAGTCTCTGGATAAGAATCTCATGTTTGGTCAGAGAAAAAGAAGAAGACCCCCAGTGAGATAGATTGACAAAGTGGCAGCATCAGTGGGCTCAAGTGTGGCAACAGTTGTGAGGTTGGCTCAGGACCCGGCAGTGTTTCGTTCTGTTGTGCATAGGGTTGTTATGAGTTGGTACCAACTCTGTGGCACCTAACAACAAATAACAACAACAATTAAAAAGGTATCATAATGGAAATTAGAATATATCTTCAACCAAAGAAAAATGAAACACATCGAAACATGTGAATGTAGCCAAAACAGACTTAAAAATATATTGCCTTAAATATTTATATTGTAAAAGCAGAGAAAGGCTGAAAAATTAATAAACTGAAGATTCATCTCTAGGAGTTTTTAAAAATAGCAAAAATAAACCTGAAGAAAGCAGAAGGAAAAACAAGAATCAAGTAAAAAGTTAATGTAATAAAAAAATAAATAAACATTCAGTAGAGAAAATTAACAAAGCCAAACTTTTTTTGAAGTCAAAATTGACAAACCTCTGGTGCAATTGAAAGGAAAAAGCAAGAGGCACAAATAATTGATGTGAGGGGTTATAATAATAATAATAAGATACTTTATGACAATAAATTGGAAAACCTGGGAACAAATAGGCAAATTTGTTAATAAATTAACAAATACAGAAAACAAAAATTCTCACTACTAGACTTCAGTAATTCTCCACATTAAAGCAAATTATGCTGAATTTTCAAGTGGACATCAAACAGAGAAAAGATTGAAATTGTCAGACTTCAATTTTATTTGGATCCACAATAAACGTTCACGGAAGCAGCAGTCAAGAAATCAAATGACAACATAATGCATTGGGTACATCTACTGCAAAAGACCACATTAGTGTTAAAGAGAAAGCATGTTACTTTGAGGATTAAAGTTGACCCACCATGGTAATTTTTCAGTTATTTCATGTGCATGTGAATGTTGGACCATGAATAACGAAGTCCAAAGAATTGTTACATTTGAATTATGATGTAGGCAAAGAATATTGGAAGTACCATGGACTACCAGAAGAACAAACAAATCTGCCTTGGAAGAAGTTCAGCCAATGTGCTCCTAGAAGTGAGAATGGGAAGACTTAGTCTCATGCACTTTGGGTATGTTATCAGGAGGGATCAGATCATGCTTAATAAAGTAGAGGGCCAAAAAGAGAAAGACCCTTAATAAGATGGATTGATATAGTGGCTTCAACAATGGGCTCAAACATAGCAATTGTGAGGATGGTACAGGACCCGGAAGTGTTTCATTCCGTTGTGCATAGAGTTACCGTGTGTGAGTCGGCACCTAACAACAAGAACAACAGCATATTGGCTAATTATACATGTGCACTGTATTTCACATAATCATCCCTGTACTGAATGATAAAGAACTCTGGTAGCATAATGGTTACAAGTCGGGCTGCTAACCTCAAGGTCAGCAGTTCAAAACTACTAGCCGTCCCGTGAGAGAAAGATGAGACTTTCTGCTCCCTTAAAGATTTACAGCCTCGGAAACCCTATGCAGGGGTGGTATGATTCGGAACTGACTTGGTGGCATATAGCCACCACCATACCACATACCACCACTACTGAAGGGCATTCTGGATGGCACCTAACAGTGACCAGTAACTGACTCTGCAAGTAGAAGAAAAGTAGGAAATGTTATACTTTGGGTCTTTGTAGCTACAGTCTTCATTGCAGCAGCCCCTGTCTTTGACTATAAAGATAATGAGACTATGTACTTGTATCTTGACTAGACATAGGCCAGGCAGTAGCCTGACCCAATGCAAAAAACTCTTGCTGTCTCTACAGTAAATTGCATATTGCAATAAAAAGAGATCTCAAGTTCTTGTGTATTTTTCACTGTAGTTAGTGCTGTATCTTAAGCGTTGAATACTACTGCCATGGGACCTATATGAAGTACCATTACTGGATGTGTTCCCAAAAAGGCAGTAAAAAGTTACGGCATCCAAAGAAAAAGTTGAATTGCTTGATATGTACCCTAGATTGAGGTTGTAGCTGTGGTTGCTCACCAAGTCAAGATAAATGAATGTAACGTAAAGAACATTGTATTTAAAATAAATAAATAAACAAAGAAGACAGTTCTATAGCTATACCAGAAGGCATGAAAACCTTGCAGTTTTTGAAAAATATCTTTTTTTATCTTATATTGAAAATACAGCTTTTATGCAGTATTGGTATGTGTGTGTATATATATATATATATATATATATATATATAAAACATACAGACTATATGTTAAAGACAAACAAAACAAAACAAAAAACTCTTGCTCTTCAAAGCAGTCCACTCGCTTTGAGATCTGCCAGTTAGCTACATAACCATTTTATGGTTATAAAAATAACATCATTATCAGTAAAACTTCACTATAGAACTAATTTCTCTTTGATTTGCTTCAGCTTCAGTAATATAGGATTTTCTCCTAGAATAATCCTCAGTAACTCACTCCATTAAAGCAGATTATGCCAAATTTCCAAGTGGAATGCCAACAAAATAGATCCTTTGTGTGCATATGAGCATGTTTTATTTTGTTTTGTTTTAAGGATTGAGGTTTATAACATTATTTATTTATATTGTTTTAAGTGCCACCGAGTCGGTTCTGACTCATAGGAACCCTGTGTGGGGTTTCTGCGAAGCAAATGGTAGGTTTGAAATACTGGCCTTGTGGTTAACAATTCATTGCTTATCACACAGTACCACACCAGAACTGCTAATAAAGTTTTAAGGTGGTTCAGCACATTTCCAGGATTTATTAGACAGTCTCCTGATGATCTATGATGCTACATTCTTCTACTTTGAGTTCTTAGGGATGAAGGGCTGAATTTGGCTGAGCAGCTAATGTGGAAGATTTGTGGGAAGAATGAGGGTGGCACCAGATAAGAGAAAACAAAATGTTAAGAAACAGTGTCACCAATCTGAACACTCTTGGATGCACAGCAGAATGGGGCTCAGCACTGCCACACCTCTGCTATCGGGACAGTGACCACCACCACCACCACAACATAGCAACAACAATAAAACCAGCTGCTGCCAAGTTGATTCAGACTCATAGTGACCTCCTGTGGGTCAGAGTAGAACTGTGCTCCAAAGGGTTTTCAGTGGCTGAGTGTTTTAGAAGCAGAAATTGAGCCCTTTCATTGGAGGTGCCTCTGGGTACACTTAAACCTTTAACTTTTTGCTTAGCAGCCAAGCACCACCATTTGCAACACCATTTGGTATGTTTTTTCACTAAAAGTGACTCTGGGGGACTCCAGCAAACTCTCTCTGCCCCTGAGGCTGGGCCTCCACCGATTGTTTGTACGTGTGTCCACACTGAGTGAAAAACAGGAGAATTATTTTGAAAAAGAATTTGGGTTATCACAGGCTTTCAGCTTATCGGGGCTTTTTATTGCTGATCATGTTGAGGAGTCATGATGTGGTACTGCCGAGTAAGCATTGGGCTGCTAATCAAAAGATTGGTGGTTCAAACCCACCAGCCTCCGCTTGGAAATACTATTTGGGGTCGCTATGAGTCTGAACTGACTCAATGGCACTTAACAACATACATATTTTAGAAATGAAGATATGATTTGAAGGGAGAGGGAAGTTGCCTGTGTTTTGATTCCTTAATCATGTGCTAATGCTTGCTTTAGTTTTTTATTAAATGTCCAAACTAAATAAAAACCAAGATAGGGTTTCGGGTGTGTAAAATGGTACACTGTGTGTACATCTTCTCAGGCATGATTGTTTCCCGGACAAAAATTTTGTCTTGTCTCCTCATGTGCACTTTTAACATAGGTTTGGTGAGTTCTCGAATGCACACAAACACATGTTTTTGCTTATTTATTTGTTTGTGGTTTTTTATTTGTCTAGGAAAGAAAAAATCCAAATTCAAAACTTTCAAGAAGTTCTTTGGGAAGAAGAAGAGGAAAGCTTCCCCCTCATCCACAGGAAGCAGCACATGGAAACAAAGTCAGACAGAGAGTGAAGTCACTGCCTTGGACTCTGGGCCAGTGGGCTATGACTCCGAGGATGAGTTGGAGTAAGTTGTCTCCTATTTCCACAAAGATGTGTATGCCCCAACAAACAGGAGGGGTGTCTGAGCACTGGCGCACACAGACATCCTACTTCGTTCACTCTCTTGGTAATTAACTTGCTAAGCTTTCGGAGCCTACTTCTCTTCCAGGTAATTTCACTGGAAATTCTTTCATAGAAATGGCATTTGGGGTCTTCTTGCACATTGGGTTGGAGAAAGTGTTAATATTGTGTACCAGGCATGGTATCAATTTGTTGTTGTTACGTGTCATGGAGTCAGTTTTGACTCATGGAGACCGTGTGTAGGTTTTCCAAGGCTGTAAATCTTTGGTGGGATCAGAAAGCAAGCAGATCTCTCTCTCGTAGAGCAGCTGGTGAGCTCAAACTGCCAACCTTGTGGTTCGCAGTCCAGTGCTTATCCTATGGAGCCACCATGTTCTCTTCTATCTTTTAAAAAGTCACAGTAAGTAAGTATAGGAGAAAACGTACTGTATGTCGCTTTGTAAATGAGCACAAACCTTAAGAAATTTTGGAACTTGCCCAGCATCCTATAGCTATAGCATAAACCAGGATATGGGTCCTGGTTCAGTTTGGCTGAAAACCCTTTGAAGACCTAAATGCAAAACTAGAAAACGGCTTATCTCTAAAGTTGGACTTTGAGTAATAACAAGAAATTTTTCCATGGTTGTTAAGTGCCGTCGAATTGGTTCCAACTCGTAGCGACCCTATGTAGGATTTTCCAAAGAGCAGCTGGTGGGTTTGAACCGCCAACTTTGTGGTTAGCAGCCCAATGCTTATCCTATAGTGACAAACCAGGACTCTGATTAGGGAGACCAAAACCAAAAGCAAAAACAAAAAATTGTCTTTTTATTTAGTCTTTAGAAAAATCATCTAAACTATCATTAAGAAGAAAAGACCCATTAGGTATGAAAATTTAGGGAAGTCTAATAAAGAAATTCTTCTTTTAAAAAACTTTTGTTTCATCAAAATAATTACAACACACTTCCCCCAGTTATCCCAGAAACTATTTCTGTGACTTAAAGGAAACAGAAGATTTTTGTTCGTCTGATTCATCAGCTCTGTATTGTCTTTTCCACCATTGGCCTCTTAATTTGAAGGATGAAACTTTTCGGGAGGTATCATGCATGTCCCTAAAGATTGGGGAGTTGACCAAGGTGGTGCCAGGGATTGGACCTCACAGTGATGTGGCCCTCCCTTCTCTGCCTCCTCAGGAACCTACTCACTGTTTGTTTTCAACCTTTTTTTTTTTTTTTTTTTAAATTGTGATAAAAATATGCATAACAAAACATTTGCCTCATCAACAATTTTTGCATGTATTCTTTAGTGACTGAGTTTATTCTTCGTGTTGTGTAATGATTATCCTTCTCCAAATTATTACAACACTATTAATATAAACAAAGAGCTCTGGTGGCACAGTGGTAAAGCACTCAGCAAAAGGTTAACCAAAGGTGAGAACCCACCAGGTACTCGGAGGAAGAAGAGGAGTGAGCCTGCTTCTATGAAGATTTATTGTTGTTGTGTGTGGTGGAGTTGGTTCCGACTCATAGCAACCCTGTGTAGAGCAGCTGGTGGGTTTGCCCTGCTAACCAGTCTTACGTATTCTACAGAGACAACAGCCTTGGAAATCCTGGGGGGCAGTTCTCCTCTGTTCTCTGGGGTCACTATGAGTTGAAATCAACTCGATGACAACAGGTTTGGGGTTTGTTTGCTTGTTTGTTTTATTAATATGAATTCAGTACTCCCGCACAATAATGCCTCTCTTCTGTCTTTGTTGTTGTTAAGCGCTGTCGAGTCGGTTCTGACCCATAGTGACCCTGTACAGGGTTTCCGAGGCTGTAAATCTTTACGGGAGCAGAAAACCTCATCTTTCTCCTGCGGAGCGGCTGGTAGTTTCAAACTGCTGACCTTAAGGTTCGCAGCCTGATTCGTAACTACTAGGCTACCAGAGCTCCTTCTGTCTTTAAAAAAAAAATTTTTTTCCTTAAATGTTTTATTGTGAATTGTGTGATAGTTTACATGGGAGAACATTAGTTTTACATTCATTCTATCGTATATCGTCTCATTGCCATGGTTACAGTCCCCTCCATGCATCATCAACCAACCAAAGGGTATACCCTGCAATCCTTCCCCCGTACCCTCCAGGTCTTCATCACACAGTCGCTCTCCATCTCTGGATCTAAAGTCTCCAGCTGCTGCATCGCTCCACATCATCATCTCTGCCTCCGTTTCAGGCATCACTGCTTCTCTGGGTAGGGTCCCGCTCTCTGCTCTTCTCCCTTGATGGTCCTAGTGACCTCCGCTCCTAGACTGAAAAGTTAATCACTCCTCTCCTTGCTATAAAATGTCTACCTTTACATTTCCAACCCTCGCAATCAGTCCTGATAACAATTATTGACTATTATATCACAAGAGACCTGTCTGCATTTCATTGCATCAGCCCCGCCTAGTCAGATTGAATACTACTCACTGGAGAGTCTACCTTCCTCCAGGCCCTCTGGATCTAGGTTCCCTCTTGAAAGCTTGTAAGCCAGTCACTTCTTACCCCACCCCCCATTTTGGGTAGCCAATGTCCAAGTTGCCCATCCCTGTCTACTCTGTGTGTAGAGGGGGTGGGGAATGATTCTTGCTGTAAGGACTTGTTCCCTCTTTTGAGCTACTGCTTCCATAGGTGTAGGTCAAGTTCATCAAATTGTATGAGAATACTTTTGTTTTGTTTTGTTTTCCTCTTCTTTTTACTTCTGGTTGAGCTCTGATCATCCAGTCACTAAAGCCAGGATAAGTGGGTATTATCTGCAAGTGTGGGTGTTCTTATGCATATGCCCTCTCTTCTTATCAGCTGGATGCTTCACTCTCCACTCTAGTCCTCTGTGGCTATATCACTGACTCTGGGCCCAAGAGTCCCCAGGTCTTGCCACACTGCTGGTCAACCAGGTCTTCACCCGGGTTCACAGAAGTCTATTGAACATTGTAGGGCTTAGCTCACCGCTTCATTGCTGTTTTCCCTCACTTCCCCTTATCTGTGTCAAGCGTGGTCACCAATCAGAGCATGTATTCCCATTGAATGTTAGTCTTGGAAGGGGGTTTGCACTGAGGGGAGCTCCTTCTGTCTTTAAAGGAGCAGAAATAACACTGACCACTTGGTGGCACTAAACGACTAAAAAGGGAAGGTTAGGTTTCTATTTTTGTTTTTATGGTAATCCTGAGCTGGAGGGGCCCATCGTGCACTTCATGGATTCTGGAGGGCATGAACCAGACTGGCATTTTTAAGGAAGTGAGTGTGCAATCCTGGGAGAGGAAGATGTTGTCTTGATGATGTTTTAGGTGTTGTTGAGTCTGTTTTGACTCAGTAGAGCTGCCCCAAAACAGGTGGCCAGAACTTTCTTCCACAGAGTAGCTGGGAGCGTTTAAACTGGCCAGTCTTTCCGTGAGCAGTCAAGAGCTTAACTATTGTGCCACCAGCCAGGGTTCCTTGCCTTGCTTATGATTGATGTTCTCACCTGACCAGCCCTAGGGAAGCTGGAGGAGTCCTGGTGTGGTGCTGTAGGATAAGCATTCTAATGCAAGATCAGCTGTTCAAACTCGCCAGCAGCCGCTCCTTGGAAACCAACTCAACAGCACCTTAACAACAACGATATGTTGTTGTTGTTGTTGTTATGTGCCGTGGAGTCGGTTCCGACTCATAGCGATCTAGGTATATAGATATTCATACATATATATAAAACAATATATAAAAAATTCATATTCATTACAGAGTCGCTATGTGTCATAACTGACTCAATGACACCTAACAACAACAACAACAACATGTATACAAGTCTTGGTGTGGTACTTTAGAATAAGCACTCAATGGCAAGGTCGATTTGAACCCCAAGGTCAGCGGTTCAAACCCACCAGCCAGCTCCTCGGAAACTCTATACAGGGTTACTATGAGTCAGAACCGACCCAATAGCACCTAACAACAACAACTTACATATATGGAGTCCTGGTGTGACACTGTAGGATAAGCACTCGACCATAAGGTCAGTTTGAACTACAAGGTCAGCAGTTCAAACCAGCCAGCTGCTACACAGGGTCGTTATGCATCAGAATCGACTCAATGGCGCTTAACAACAACAAGGGAAGCTGTAACACTCACCGCATTCTGTCTTATAACTGGAACATTCCATTCTAGTATTAAGGACACAGGTGTAGAAGCAGGAGAAGAATCTGACTCTCAGAGCCCAGCTGGATAGTGACCTGTCCACTTACCTATCTCCTCCACATAACCAGAGCCCATTAAAGTAGGGAGAGTGTTCTTTTCATCTTTATATACTTCGAACCTCACAGGCTCCTGGAAATCAATTATGGTAAAAGTTTTCTAGGACTGATGCTGAGAAAAGAAACTCGAGGATAGGATACCACAAGGCCCAAGAAGTGCAAATGGTCTTTAGTAAGCATCTTGGAGGAAGAAGCAAGATCGCAAAGGCATTCTTTCACCTTTGCAAGAGCCTGCATGCTTTCTAGATTCTTTGGCAAGTTCAACCCACAGTGGAGTGCATTCTGTTTCAGACTTTTCACCCATCACCATGGGCCAAGGTGGAAATTGTTCCAGTTGTCAAGACACTTTGATGCTGGCAAGCCACATGGTGCCCTGTGGGTTTAGAAGTAGATTTCCATTTATGGTTTCTGGGTATGCATGTGGTTTCTTCATCTACAACAATTTCCTCTCATCACCCCACCTTTTTCTCCATTTCATCGATCTGATGGAGAAGCAGTGGTTCCCACTGCAAAATATCCTATGTTCTAGATTTGGTTGAATGCTTTTTTTGTTGTTATGATTAAGCTTTTAATTATAGCCTCTGAGTTCCTTGTAAATGGTCAATGAATTTAGAGACTTTTAATTAGATTAAGATTTGATATTTTATATGTGTGTGAGGGGGTGAGGTGAGAAATTTCACAGTAAGTGCAGGGTGCATCCTGTCATGTCACGTCAGGAGGCACCTATTTTTGTTTGTTCTGCTTTGAGTGATAAGACTCCTCAGGGGATATCGGTCTACTCCCTTGACCAACCTTCAGCAGATGGTTTCAGCATCTGCTGATGACCCCTGCCTAGATCATGCACTGCAAAATAATGGCTTTCTAATTCTGTCATTTATTATCATTGTTAGCTGCACTGCTTCTTTGAAGCATATCTTCTCATCAATAGTTTGGTTGCTCTGAAGTACAATTTGTACAGCAAAGGCTTGGTCCTCCCTGTATCAATCCACCTTCAGACTAGGTACCCACATAGCTTCCATTAGCGACCAGTGAGGGTTGTTTTGTGTGTGTGTGGTGGGTTTTTTGTTTTGTTTTGCTTTGTGTTTAATTTTTTTCCAAATATCATGGTTAATGCATGGATTTTCATAGATTTGATTTGCTTATGTTGATTGCAGTCATCTTATGTTTCGCTGCTTAGATTCTCCCATCATAAGCAATTGACAGTCACTTCAGTTTATCTTCTGGGTCCTTGTGACATGGCCTCAGTAGTCTTTGAAAGCTTCCTTGCTTTTTTCACAATGAGAACTCTTAGGTTTATTTTGCACATCTACTGACCCAGAATTGAACTCAGCCCTTTCTTTAAGGGACCTTGGTTCCTTTTATTGTGAAATGGCTCCAAGAGAGGACTTTTGGCTGGCAGGGTAAGGATTGATGTTTGGTTGTCATTACTTCTAGCCCTTTTCCAGTGGTTATTACTAGGAAATATGTTTTCTTTTTTAATAGGAAAATACATTAATTCACAGGTTTTTCCAGTTTGTGACAAAATTTTTATATACTTAATTTTATATTTATATTTTCTTTTATAATAGAAATCTTGGTTCCTAATGATATTAACAAAATGATTTATTTTCTTCATTGGACAATATACTGGAGTTCTGGTGTGGTGCTGTGGGCTGATGCTCTGAACTGCAAAGTTGGTTTGAACCACAAGGTTGGTGGTTCGAGCTAACCAGCAGCTCTTTGGAAACCCTATACAGGTCGCTATGGGTCAGAACCAACTTGATGGCACTTAACAACAACACGATATACTTACTAAAATTTCAAGACAAGACTATAAGTACTACTATTATTATGGCCACTGAGTGCAGTTTAATATCTTTGTAAGCTTGTGTTCTTAGAATTTATCCTAATCTGGATGCATTGTTTTAGGAGCCCTGTTGGTGAACACCATCAAGTCAGTCCTGATTCATAGCAACCCTGTATGGGCTTTCTGAGAGTACATATTTGCAGGAGCAGAAAGCCTCATCTTTCTCCCAGAGTAGCTGGTTGACTTGAACACACAGATCACGTGGTTCACAGTCTAGTGCTTATCCTATGGAACCAGCCTGGAGCACCACACCAGAACTCCAGTATATTTTCCGATGAATAAAATAAATGAACATCTTATCAGGAGGGACCAGTCCCCGGAGAAGGATGTGCTTAGTAAAGTGGAGGGTCAGCGAAAGAGAGGAAGACTCCAAATGCGATGCATTGACACCCTGGCAGCAGCAATGGACTGAAGCATAACAACAATTGTGAGGATGGCACAGGACCAGGCAGTGCTTTCTTCTGTTGGGTAATAAGTTCCCTATCAGTCGGAACCAACTCAACGGCACCTAACAATAATAAATGGCATCGTAGGTTATGTGTTGGGCTGCTGGCCTTAAGGTCAGTAGTTTAAACCCACCAGCCACTCTGTGGGAGCAATACAGGGCTTTCTGCTCCTGTAAAGATTGTAGTCTCAGAAACCCTGTACAGGGTTTTTATGAGTCGGAATTGGTTTGATTGCACACAAAATCTAGAACAGTGGCACAGGGGAGTAAGGTTTGGCTCTGCAGGTTAATGCGCTGGACTGCAAAGTTGGTTTGAACTGCAAGGTCAATGGTTCAAGCTCAGCGGCTGCTCCTCGGAAACCCTATACAAGGTCGCTGTGCGTCAGAGCCCACTTGATGGCACTTAGCAATGACATTAATTGAAAAGTTCACAGTTCAAACCCACCTGCTTCTCCATGGGAGAAAGAAGTGGCAGTGTGTTCCTGTAAAGGTTTACAGCTTTGGACACCATCTGGAGTAGGTCTACTCTGTCCTTTCAGGTTGTTATGAGTCAGAATTAGTGTTGGTTTGGTTTTTGGATGCAGAGTCAAAATGTTGTGTTTTGAATTCACTTGAAATAAGTCTTTTCTGTGTGTGGTTCTAACAACAACCTGATACATAATTAGCTTTATTTGTTTCTGCATGTTTTTTTCCTAGTTTTTAGAAATGACTTTTCTTTTCCTTTTGGGTCCAGTTTTGTCTTTAATTATGTAAAACACTTGTATCATTTCAAAGACAAAATTGAAATGTGGGCACCTTTGCACCCTGTCCCCTCATCATGTCCTTCTTGCCTTCCCCGTAAGGAAAACATTTTTGTACTTGTATCTTTCTATTATTTATTGTTTACATTTCAAGCAAATGCATAATCTTATTTATGTTCATATGTGTATTCACAATTCTGTTTCTCACATAAAGGTTTCATGTTGTTGTTAAGTGTTGTCAAATTAGTTCTGACTCATAGTGACCCTGTCTACGGTTTCCCAGGAGCAGCAGGTGGGTTTGAACCACCTACCTTGCAGGAAACTTGTTAAGTGCTGTTAGTAAATGCAGTTGAGTCAGTTCTGATTCATAGCAACCCTGTACAGGGTTTCTAAGGAGCAGCTGGTGAGTTTGAACCGCTGACCTTATGGTTCAAATTAACCTTGCAGTCCAGTGCTTTAGCCTACAGCGCCACACCAGGTCTCCTTGCAGTGAGCAGAGTCCAGTGCTTATCCTACAGAGCCATGCCAGGTGGCATAGTATAAATATTGTCTGTACCGGATCGTTATGTTGTATTTTCACTCGGAGAACCTGGTGATGTTCGTATGTCAGTGGCTAGCCACCTTCCACACCCCTTAAGTCAGCTACAGAGTCCTCCAGTGTGCAGATGTTCCTTAGTTGATTCAGTCCGACTCCCACTGATGGACATTTAGGTAGTTGCCAATATTTGGCTTGTATAAATATTGCTGTCATGAATCATCCTCTGTGTATATATCAGTTGGTACCTAGACTGCAGGTGTTTGGGCAGGGTTCCGACTCCAAAAGGGTGTGGGCACGGTCTGTTCCACTGTAGGAGGGAAATTCAGGTGCACATATGCTCTTGATGTGAACAGCATGCAGGAAAGGGCTGGGTTGCTTTATTTAGCTGGATTCCCTTCCAGAAATGTGAGACTCTGACCTTACAGAAGTCATAGGTTCCCCACTTGCAAGCTTACTATTGTGGACCAGAAAGAAGCTTTATGAAAACACAGCTCCACTAGCTAGCACAATTGAATCTGCACTGGGGCAGGGCCATGCCTAAGAGTCCCTCTGCCCCACTGAGGCAGGATGCCAGGGAGGGTGGGCCCTGGTGCACAAGATGTCCAGTGTGTGCAGAGGCAGGCTTTCCTTCCTTCGTTATAGCTCTCAATCATCTCCTTCCACCTATTGTTCAGACAGCCACTGCTGTGAGGAAAATCTGACGGCTACTTCCCACATCCTCTTACATGGCAGTTTGTGGAGTCTTAGAGACCCAGTTCCAAATCCCAGCCTTGAACTCAGTGCTGCGGAGGGAACTAAGCTAGTGATGAAAGCGGATCTCTCATCTACCTCCAGGATAGAGGCCAATGCACGGTTCATGTAGTGTCAGCATCATGTTAATAAGAAGAGGGCATGGCTTTGCAGATTTGGCATTCTCATTTCAGACAGAGTTGTGGATGCATGTTTTGGAGGGCTTTGTGGGGGCCCATCTGCCAGGCAGGCCTCCAGCCCCACCCAGAGGTCTGTTTGTTTGCCCACAAGAAGTGACTTCACCTTTTCCAGGCATACACGGCACACTTCATAGAATCCAGGTGGCTGGACCGAGGCTGCCTGTCAGCCCTTCCTTTCTGTGTCCTGCTGTCTTAGACCTCACACCTTGTCACACCTTGGTTTGTCCATTAATAAAAAGAATCCACATAACTTTCAGATCTGCAAGAAAATGCCTAGCTCTACAATACTCCTAAGAGTTGATTGTTGTATTTGACAGTGTGGAGCTCAACTGAAGTCAGGGGCAATTAAAATATAAATGCAGCAAAGAGCTTGTAGTGTGACATACCATTAACTCACACGGCCCTTTTTTGAGTTCAATCTGGGTACCACAGGGATCAGCGGAGCTGGAGGTAGGCAAAGTCTCACAGTACCTTTTTTTATCCTAGGGAGTCAAGGGGTGCGCTGGGCAGCCGAGCCCTCTCACACGACAGTATCTTCATCCCTGAGTCTGGGCAGGACCCTACTCGACCTGTGCGGGTATTTTCTCAAGAAAACGTGTGTGATCGGATCAAAGCTCTGCAGGTAAAGATTTTTACATGGCAGCATCACTTGATAATCATGTCATAGAAATCTTTGACTTGTTTCTGCTTGCTGTATTTGATACACATTAGAATAGAATCAAATGCACATTATAACTGGCAGAAGTTATACCAAGTTCATCACAACTGGATCTTAATTCATACTAAGTGACACCCACCCATTTTCAAGATGGCGCCAAGAGTGCTGGTGGCCAATGCTCTTTCAGTTCAGTCTTCTGCATCAGACAAGCGTGCTGAAAATATTTGCTGAATGAGTGACTAGGAAGATTTGTTGATAAATGTCACTGATGAAATTGACAGCAAATGTTCTTTATTCCAATCTAGTTAAAAATACAGTGTAATGTGAAAATGGGGCCACCACCGCCCCCAGGGGGACTTCCTATCAAGCGTGGAGATGATGCTGGCATGAGTTCTGAGGATGATGGGTTGCCCAGCAGCCCCCCAGAGATGTCCCTCTTACACGACGTTGGCTGTGGCACAACCATAAAGGCAAGTACACCTCTCTGTGAGTTCCATCCTCACCCACCATCGAGGCCATCAGAGCAACTCTGGTTGGTTTCCAAAGATCTCCGTGGTAGGTGTGGTCATCTTGGTGTGGGCCAACAGGTGTTCCAGTCCAGGCCACTAGAGCCCACAGTTGGTCTTTGGGTTTTTCATTCTTGGAGTTGAATTTCAGGTTTTCTTAAAGAATTATTGTTGTTGTTGTTAGGTGTCATCGAGTCGGTACCGACCCATAGTGACCTTATGCACAGCAGAACGAAACACTGCCCGATCCTGGGCCAATCTCACTACTGTTGCCATGTTTGAGTCCATTGATGCTGCCACTTGGCTAATCCATCTCGTTTGAGGTTTTCCTCTTTTTCTCTGACCATCCACCTTACCAAACATGATATCATTCTCCAGTGACTGGTCCCTCCTGACAATATGTCCAAAGTATGAGAGACGAAATTTGGCCAATGTGGCCTCCAAGGAACACTCTGGCTGCACTTCTTCCAAAATGGATCTATTGGTTCTTTTGGCAGCCCATGGCACTTTCAATATTCTCCTCCAACACCATAACTCAAAAGCGTCAGTTCTTCTGCTGTCTTCCTTATTCACTGTCCAGCTTTCACATGCATATGAGGTTATTGAAAATACCATGGCTTGGGTCAGGCGCACCTTAGTCCTCAAGCTGACATCTTTGCTCTTCAACACTTTAAAAAGGTCTTGTACTGCATATTACAGAATAGGGGTTTGGTAATATTTGTTCTGATAGTTATCATCTAATATAGTCAACCCTTATACCTCATATTTCTTGTCTGAGCCAGTGACCAGACCAGTCATCCTATTTAAAAGAATTGAAACACCTCTGTATTTATTTTCTGTTGATTTGACCAGAAGGAGAAGGGGAGTAGTCAATGTGTATAGGACTTAATATAGATTCTCATTTCCCTTAGTCTGTGACTATGAGAACTTGTTGGTTTAGAGGCAGAAACGAAACGTGAACTGTGATGCTGGTAAACACAGTAGCAGAGTAAGTTCCTCAAGCAGGGAGGAGGTGATAGGCTATCAAAAGCAGGTGGAACTGGTCTTGAACCCTCCCTTCATCCATTAGAATCAGAAAGGAGGAATTTGAGGAATTGTGCTCTTTCTCATGCACAAACCAGATACAATGCTGTTGTTGTTACATGCCATGAAGTCATTTCCAACCCATAGAGACCCTGTAGAGGGTTTCCCAGGAGCTGCTGGTAACTTTGAACCACAGACCCTGGGGTTCAAACCGACTTGGTGGTCCAGTGCTTATCCTATAGCACCACACTAGAACTCCTTACAAAGTATTTGTACATTAAAAAAAAAAAAAATGTTGCTGTCCTGTTGACTCCAATTCACAGAAATGCTGTAGGACAAAGTAGATCTGCCCCTTGGTTGCCTCTGTTCTGGTAAAGGAACTGTTCATCATGAAGGTGTAGGGCTTTCATTAGGAATCATTGTCTTTGTTTCTTAAGGCTGCCACAGAACACGACAACACAAAGTGGGTGACTTTACAAAACAGAAATTTATTTTCTCACTGTTCTAGAGTCCAGCAGTGCAGATTCAGGGAGCCTGCTGAATCAATTCCCTCTGCAGGCTCTGCGAGGGGAGCTGTGCCATGCCTCACCTGTAGCTTCTGATAGCTGCAAGCAATCCTAGGCCTTCCTTTGCTTCTGGATTGATTCTCACCTAGTGTCTTCCCTCTGTGTGTGACTGCTTCTCTCTCTGCCTTCTCTGTCCAGCCACATAGGATTAATACCTGCACTACCCCAGAAGGTCATCATTCACAGATAACACCTGCAAAGAAAAACCCTATTCTCCCAAACAGGGGCACCTTTACAAGTCCATACAGGAGTTAGTTAGGACTTCAACAGAGGAGGGAGCTTCAGAAAGTTCATGGAGCAATTGTCTTTGATTCCATTGTCTTCTGATTCCATTTTCCATGAACTTTTTGGGGAATGTAATGTAATCCACATCAGTTGTCTTGCAGATCCCTGAGCTGTTCTGAATGACCTTCAGTGTTGTTGTTGTTATTAAGTATCGTGGAGTTGGTTCCAACTCATAGTGACCCTGCACAGGGTTTCTGAGACTGTAAATCTTTATGGGAGCCAAAAGCCTCATCTTTCTCCTGTGTAACAGCTGGTAGTTTTGAACTGCCAACCTTGAGGTTAGCAGCCTGATTCGTAACTACTACACTGCCAGAGCTCCTTGAATGACCTTAAGTAGTAGCTACTTAAATTTGGATGTTCACAAGCCACCACAAAGTCAGAGGAAGCATTACGGATGTGGGAGGGTTTTCAGAGCATCTTTGAGGTTAGAGCAAAGAAGGGTGTGGTGTGGCGGAGTTAAAACACGCTCAGGGTCAGGAGATTCTCGAAGGGCTTCTGGGTTTCAGAGCAGGCCTGTCCCTGGGACCCTGAGAGTGTGACTCACTGCACATGTGCTCCATGCAGTGGAGGACACGGAGGATGGTTTAGCTCATTTTCTTGAGCTTTGAGCCTTGAGCCTTAAACCTTAAAGTACTGGAGGGAGAAGGTGACAAGCTTGTGAGTGTCCACAATGTAATTACCATGTGAAAGACACAATCTTATGTCTGCATCCTCGTGTGTGTGTGTGTGTGTGTGTGTGTGTGTGTAGCTTGAGCATCTCCAGTTGTAGGACCTTATGAGAATATGCTTGTTGTGGGACATGTGAGGGGCAGATGCCTGTCCTGCTCCACCTCACTGTTTCTTGAAGACCGAATCTCCCTTGTTCCGCCCTGTGATTCTCTGACTCACAAAGCACCTTAGTTCTCTGAGTCTAGCTGGGACAGGCAGGACGTTCATTCCTCACCACCCCTTCATTAAAGAGTGAGTCCAGCTCCAAATCTGCAGGACAACAAGATGCAGAGTCCACCATGAGCTGGGTGGGAACCCTTACACTGAGCTAGCACCGACCCCGTTGTTCTCAACATCCCTCCTAGGGCTGTTACTTCATTTTAAAATGTTCAGAGATTTTATTAGTTGTTGGGGTAATGTGAGCAGTCCTCTAGCTTCATAGGATACCAAAATTAGAGCCTTGAAGACAAAGAACAGAAAAGAAGCAGGTTATCTTTATCCTGGTCTTAAAGACACAATGATCACATTTCATTTCCTGAACATTTCTTGTGCACAATTAGCCAATTGCAAGGAAGAAACAATGTGCCCTTTAAAATGTGTTTATATAATACATGGCATTTGATAGAACAGCACCTTTAATCCCCAAAAGTTGGGATTCTGGGCTATTTTATTTTTCTCCTGAATTGACATCTTTTGCATACCTACATGCTTGGAAGAGATAGTTAATGAAGAATATTGTCAAGGAAAATCTTTAGTAGCAAGTTTTTGATGATACTGCCATGGTGGTATTTTCTGATGAAATCAGTTTTCAGGAATGACAAGAAGTTGTTGTTTTTGTTTTTAACTTCAATACCATTGTGGGGTAGGGGGCGAGGACCTCCAAGTGATGAAATTTTATTGGTCGCTTTTAAGGTCAATTTATGTGTAACTGGCCATGTATCAGGCTTCTAGACACTGAGCAGTAAATGCTGGTTAGACGGTGATGAACTGCTAAGTCTTTTGCTCCGGATGATGAAGGAAGGTATTGGAGTGGAAAGAACATGGCTTTGGCAACAAATGGACAAAGCTTGCCTCTTCAGTACAGAGTGAAGCCTTGGACAGATTCAGAATCATGGACTTCTTAGAACCTGTGTCCTCAAAGGACTTTGGAGAGGATTAATTGAGAGCAGGTGGTCAGTGTTTCGCCTTCCCATGAAAGGAATGGCCAGCATGAGTCCAGGCCCAGCATACAAAGGGATTCCAAAAGTTCAGGGCAAAATTCCATTATCTTTTCATTCCATTTCTCCATGAACTTTTGAAGCCACCTCATGCCTTATTTCTCAGTCCCACTGCTTCATTTCTACTCTTGACCCACTTCTCACTGGCTAGGCCTTTGTTTTTGAGGACAAACACTGTAAACTAGTTGTCATTCAGGGTCACCACAGAAAAAATCCCTGAGCCCCAAGTGGTTTCCTCATGACCCTTTGAGCCAAATTCTCCCACTCATTAAACTCATAAATATTCTGCTTCAGGAACCTTATAGAAGCATCTAGATTTCAAGACAAAATTGGGTGGCTAGGAGCAACCGGTGCAAATGTAAATGTCAACCAGCTTCCCCGTCCCTTAACTAACTTCCTCCTACAGACCTGACCTGCACATAGGTGCTTCCCTGATCAAAGACAAAGATCCTCATTCTCAGTTAGGAAGGTGTTAATCTTTCCCTAGTCCTGTTGTCCTTGAGTCAATTACAACACTGTAGACACTGTAAAACTGCCCCAAAGCTGTAATCTCTACTGAAGTAGATTACCATGGAGCCACAGGTGGGTTCAAACCACTGACCTTTCAGTTAGCATCCAAGCGCTTAACCATTGTGCCACCAGGGCTCCTTTTAATCTCTCTAGGGTAGGACCCAAGAGCTTTCAGAATGACAGAGACAGCAAAGTGGGAGTTTGTGGTGAGAGGAATTCCAGAATTCTAGATGGACTATAGCAGGCGCTTTGCACATGTGGCAGAGGTTCTGGTCTGAGTGTCAGGAAATTGAGTTTACCAAGGTCACTGAGATTGTGGGCCACTGTGGGTTTGAGCCCAGAACTATCTGCTCTTTCTGCGGGGAGGTAGTGTGAACACAGGGCTGTCCGTGGTGGAGGAGCAGGGGGCTACCTTCCTTTGGGACCTTCTGGATGTTCAGCTTATAGAGGCATGGCCAAAGGACCAGCGTTGTCACGGACAGCACAGTCTTCCTTGTTCATGGTGTCATTGCATTGGCAAAGCCACTGCCCTTGTCTCTTCTCTTGAGTCCCAGACAGTGAGAGAAAAACTAATGTCCTACGAGACATTTCTGAACATAAAGTCATGGATTTTACCTGGGATAAGCAATGAAGAAGAATTTCTAGCCCCATTTAT